GTGACGTCGCGGCCAACGCGCGAGGAGGGTCTTGCCTTTCTGTACATATTTGCTTTATCTTTCGACTTTTACTTAGCATTGTGGAAGCCACGAGAGGGAGATTAGAGTTCTCCCCCACCGACGGAAACAAATACGACTTTCGGGGATTAGCTTCCCCCCCGATGGATACAAAGGCTGCTTTCAGGGGCTCGGTTTCCTCTCCGATTAATACAAAGGTCGCTTTCTTAAAGGGGCAGTGCAACGGTTTTAATGTTGAAAGAATTGCCAGTTTGCATTTTTTATATTGTTCATACAAGCCCAAGTGACCAAAAACGCGTCACCTTTCCCAAAAAAACGGCTATTCTGCTGCGTAATCGCAAGGCAAAAAACGAATTATTTGCCGATCTGCAGCCGCCGGTGGCGGCTACGGGAACTAAAATGACGGCGTCTCTGGGGGATACGCGGAAGTCAACAAACCCTGTCCCCCTCCGCTGCTACACTCGCGGTCAGCCCCATAGAGAACCGTCCTTTGTGTCCATCGCTCGCCGCGACCTTCGACGAGGCTAATCCTTTGAAAGTCCACAATCGCGGAGGAAGCGGCTGGGGCCTCTGAAGAGAGGGCCCAAGGGGAAACCACGTGAACCCCCAGAGACGTCACTCGCAAATCGGCGTGGAGATTTGAGAGGCACTTCGACCTTCGATTTGTTTCATTTTTTTAAATAAGAACTAGCGCTCGCAAGAAAATGCGGCTTTCGGTTTTTCGTTCCATAGGTGACGCAGATTAACTTCCGCACTTAACTGGCCAAAGTCTGAAAATCGTTGCAATGCCCCTTTAAAAAGTGGGATCGGAGACAAGTGGGAATCCATTGAAGCGGAACAAGGAGCGTTTCCAGTGAACTCTTCTTTCGACTGCGGAGAGATTTGAAACGGGCGCATTACGCTTGTGGGAGGAGCTTCTCCTACCTTCTTGACTTGTAACCGACTATAAGAAATGTTACTTTTTACGTTAGTTTTAGTTATTTTGTGTTTAATTGTTAGTATATGACAGCTGTTAGTATATGGCTGTAGCGCCTACAGCACAAACGACTCCACACGATTGTCGAACCGTTCTTGATAAACGGGAACTTGATGCATGCGGTCGATCTTCATATCCTTCAGCAAAGGCTGGTCGGGACAATAAGTTGTAGTGTCGGGACAATAGGTTGTAGTGATGGAAGATAAGGTGGCGTCTCCGTTGGCAGATGCATGTGTTGCCACCCCTCTGTGAGGGCCACCTAGCAACATTAAAGGGTAACTGCAAAGAAAAAGAAAGTTTTTTTTTTAAACAGCCTAATTGGGACAAGCATGTCAAAAAACAACTTTTCCGCGAGAAAAAAAAAAATTTACATCAATATTTATTGCGTGAGACTGATTTTAGTTTGCGGCTATTTCGCCCGTTTTAAATCGCGCGCCACGAAGTTGGGATTCTGTGACGTTGAATCCCAATCGGCAGCTATACTTCTCATTGGCTAAGAGTTTGATTGACAGCATAGATCTTGGTTGTTAAACCTTTGTTATATGGTGCAATTTCCTTTTGAGCGGCATATTTTTACGTTTAAAGATTAACCCATGTGATGAGAGTTATTATTCTTTACAAAATGTTTACATGACGGGCACATCCGTTTGAATTCATACCATAACAAACAAAAGCTTCGCCATTCTTTCATGGCCGGCGACGTCTCCGCTACCGCCTGTCTCGCCTACCTCGACTAATCGTTTCGCCGAAGTGATCAGTGTTTCTTGCTGACCCAGGTGCTTGAGTGAGACTTCTTGAAGTAAAGTGTTTCTTGCTGACCCAGGCGCTTGAGTGAGACTTCTTGAGGTGAAGTAGACTACTTCACTTCAAGAAGTCTCACTCAAGCACCTGGGTTAGCAAGAAACAGTCACTTCGGTGAAACGATTAGTCGAGGTAGGCAGGTGTTACTGATAGGAAGCGATGGGAAATTTCGGCTTTCATAGCGCGGTTCTTTCGTTTTCCTCTTTGCTTGCTTAGCGTGTTTTCTTGTTGTTTTTTTTCTGTTTTTTTTTTTCGGTTGCTCGTGCAAATGCTGACTTTTCGGAGATGTCTGATGAGTGATCCCGACAGCGAGCCTTCCAGCAGCCATGTCGCCCCGAAAAGAATGCTATTGGCTGAAGGCAATCGGGCGTTCGCGTAGCGACAAACGTGTCCAGTTACGTTCTTGTCATATCGCTCCGGAGGCCTTCGAGATTCGCACTGGGTGCCCCGGGTGCATCGAACGTCCGAGACCAGACGCAAATGTTACGGAAACAGCCTGGCACAGCAGGTGATTACGTAATAGCTGTCCGCAGAATCCCTCGGACGTTTGAATTCTGCGTTAGCCGACAGATTTTTTTTCTTGGCTTTCGAACCATCTTACGTAAATTGTTTGAATGAATATCTACTGTTATCGTAAATCTTGGCTTGTGATCGCGGCTTCGTAGATTATCGTATTCGTTTTGCTGGAGAGACGCAAAGGACGGGCATAACAAAATCGGTTGCATATTCCGTATACCTTGCAAAAGCTCTTCGCCAGTCACCTTGCGAAAAGCGCGAAACACGGAGTCTGCACCGTCCCGATTTCTCAGTCTTTTACCTGCTTTAGAGCAGTTTGTACCTGCTAGTAGGTATGCCTACTGAAACTTGAAACTAGGGGCAGTGCCAGAGAGCAAAGAGAGAAAGTTCGGAAAGCTTGCTCGCCCTCCCCAATTTCTGAACTTTCAAGTGATCATACCGTAATAAACGCCACAACGCCTCTTCCCAAAATAAAAAAAAAAAACACAAAAAAACACTATGCTCACTACGTAAAAAATGGTCTCAGTTCATGCATCTGTGGGCAGGTAGGAAATCTTGCCCAAATTTATTCGCACCGCACGATGAGCGCAACACGTCGCTGTGCAAACCCAGTCCAACACGAAGCAGAAAATCGGCAGGTTTAGGACAACAATTCGGAGTTTCTTGTTCAATTAAAACGACGTAATTTTGTTGAAAACGCCCGCAGCTTTTTACTCACGGTATGCGTCGGGAATCTTCCACATTTTGAAACGGAACGAAGGAAGATTTACTTTTAAAAACGCTCGATGCGTCCTCCCGGGCCACTTTGACTGGATCGGCTGACGACGACGGGACTGAACCCGTTTAACCGTTTAACCTCAACCCTAAAACAGCCAATTTGCGCTCCGTATTGGGTGTGTACTTCCAAGCACTGCACCACACACACCATGAACGTTTCAGTTCTTTGTCGCATCGCGGTGTTGCACCAAATAGAACGAGATCGCTGAAGTCAACGCAGCGCTGTCGTGAACGTTTCTTGCGGTTGCACACTCCTGGACCCTGTGACTCCTTTCGCTTTCAAAGCACACATGACGATTACGAATGATTCTTTCCGTCTTCCGGGAACATCACAGGGGCACTTCTCCGGTCACGTCTTCGCTATGTGCTCGCAAACCCCGCAGCTTTTCGTGTACCGTCAAAACAAAACAATAGGGAGTTTTCGTAGATCGTTTTTGCCGTCCCGCAAGGCCCTCCGCAACCCGCTACGATAGTGGGAGCTCCACAGTCAAGGCTATCGGTGCGCAGGCTCAGTAGCAACTTCTTCGTTGCGGAACGCTTAGCGGAGGGGGCACCGCGGTTTACGAAAACTCCCCATTACCGGTGCCATGTTTAACGTGCGTTGTTGCCAGATCTTATCGGAAGTCGAGACGCCCTGTCGTTCAACTCAGCAGCAGAGTCAACAAAAAAAAAAAGCAAATCCAAGAGAGAGGGGCGGGGCGTAGTTCTCCTCCGCGGGGGTCGAAAGAGCGGGAGTTTCAAATGTAGAGAGGTTCTGACTCCGACTAAATTACGTCCTGTGACGTAAATATTGCTAAAAAACAATCTTTTTTTTCGCGGAAAATTTGTTTTTTGACATGCTTGTCCCAATTAGGCTGTTAAAAAAAAAAACTTCTTGTCTTTGCAGTTACCCTTTAAGGGATTCTACTCTGGAGCCACCACTGCCCCTTCAGCCTTGTTGTCTTGTTGTTCAGGACTGGAGTTATGAACCGGCAGAAGTAGACACCTAAGGTTGTTCCTCAGCTAGGAAACACCAGAATTTATTAATTTCATACATGATGTGTCTCTTTAACAGTCGACCAAGGCAGTACAGAATGGCGAAGGAAAGAAGATTCACACAGTAGACATTGAAATCTAAACAACTTCTAAGAAAAAGAGCTGGGACGACTGACACCCGAAGATGCAAACGCAGCTGTACTGCGTTCACCCCTATTAATCTGAGACCTAATGGGTCGCATCTTCATACGCCTCAGCCCCAAACCAAGTTTTAATACTCATTTTGTTTTCGGAATACGGCGTGTCAAATTCACGAGAACAGGATTTCAATGACAGCAATAGTATAGCAGGGGTTGAAGTGGACGATACATCTCGTGTACTGATTCGCTAGGTTGGCTTTGAATATTACCTGGTTGGGGAGATCAGTGCATACTCATCTCAATCAAATGTAAATCTTAATTCTACTCTTTCATTCCTCATTTGCGATGCTTGTTTTTTTTTTTTTTTTTTTTTAATTTCGCACGCAGTTTTAGTTTTTTGAATATACGTAGTTAAAGGTACAAATAAATATTGTCGCTTTCCGTTCCTTCCTGTTTATTAACCGTCGTCTTTCTAACCTTGCAGATCAAACTCGGCATAAATTTGGACGCAGATGTGAACGACACGTCGCAGCTTTGAAAAGGTGGCCTGTCACCAGCCGAGTCCCTCTTCGGTCATGCAACGTCTTGTGCTACATTTTGTCTTTACACGTATGCGACAGAGTCGGATTAAATGAGATGGCTACAGTTGAGCCTGCAGCATGTAAACTTTCCATTGTCTGCCTTACCTAACTTTGCCTATTTAACGCCCTCACCCCCCCCCCCCCCCCCCACCCCTTTCAAAGCCTTTCATACATTTATTGATTGAATCTGTATAATCCCTCAAAGTGTGCCTTAATGCGGACAAACTGAATAGTGTGTCTTACTTTTCGTTTGTTATGTAGAATCTCTGAACGTGGTGCCTTATTTCTAAAATGGTGAAACAACGTGCACTATCTGCGTGTTTGCTTTATTGTTTGCTCAACTAAAGGCAGGTGTACTAATTTCTTAGTGCCATGCTTACAACGGCAGATGCTTAAAACACTGGCGAATACTTATGACCTGCAGCGCAGCGGCCGGTCATCAGCAGTCACAAGATGGTTCACAAGCCCCTCCGGTCGTAAGCAGTCACAAGTGTGTCAACTGCCAAACTTCGTTCCTTTATGACAGCACTCTCATATTGGGTCTTAAGAAAACTATCTGCAGACCTGTTAAAAGCACACATATGTGTGCTTTGAACACGTGAACACGTGAATATTGGGTCGAACACACGAACACGTGAATATTGGGTCTTAAGAAAACTATCTGCAGACCTGTTCAAAGCACACACGTGTTCAAAGCACACATATGTGTGCTTTGAACACGTCCGCAGTCAGTTTTGGTAGGCCCATTATGAGATGACACAAGAAAGAAACGCGCCTCAGATGGTATTTGCACACTGCTTTTTGCTTGGATTACGAGCAGTGTTACCGGTACTTTACGAAGCGAGTCAAGAGAACGTCTGCAGATGACTAGTCTGCTAACGTATGTGAACAACACAATTCGCCTGCTACGAAGCGTCATTCGCAGACAAAGAGAAAACAAGAAAATCTTTTACGTCTTCCGTAAATGGACCGGAATAAAGGCTAGCCTTCTGCTAAGAGCCGAGTGCCACGAGGAAGTGATACGGGACGCAAGCTGAAACTAAAATGTTCTGCTATACTTCCAGTTCGATGGGACCGACAACAAACGCTCCCTCTGCAAATTTTCAGCTCTGCTTCCCTACATAGCTCAAATTCTTCTATGTAACTAGTACTCGGGACAAATACTTTAAATACCTCGAGAACCCTGTCACCATCCCTGTGTTGGTGAGTAGCTCCCACCAGAAGGACTCGCGAACAGAGTAGAGATTATCTAGTGACAACTAGTGTTGAATGGTGATCAATTTATACTATAGATCCCTTAACCAAATTATAACGTTTTATGATCAACTTCTGGATGATCTAAAATGCTTTTTACCAATGCGGTTTTTTGGGGAACTCGAGAACGTGAACCAAGTATCTCAGCTAAAACTCGTTCTTCCTAAGTGGGCCCCGTTTATGTTAGTTTTTGGCAAAATGCGAGCCTGAATGATTGATCTGCACTGCATATCATTTTATAAATGGTGGCATTAGTCGCGTGGATGCGGCACAGATGGAATCGGCATTCATTTTCCTCCTCGCTAGCGGTTTGACGCTCCATATATAATGAAACATCTCTCGTGGAAATCGAAATGGTCAGTGTTATTTAGCCCAAACATTCACACTTGGAAATGGTGTAGTCCCATAGGACTTATTTTTTTCGGGTACTTCAGATTGAAATGTCTCGCAGGTACCCTCCTACTGATAAATGGTGTTGTCATCCATGCCCTGTTTCATCTCGAAAGTGGCCTTTAGTTTTTTACTTGATTAAACTGAACTGCAAATGCACGTTTTCCCATTTGTTGCCTTCTTTTTTTCTCGTTTCTGCGTCGTAATTCGTGATCATTTACTGCGCAGTTTAATCGAGTAATGAATAGCCAACTGGACCAATTCCAGGCACTGGTAATCTTCAGTTTTAGTTTCACTCATCCAATGTGATGATATTTGAGGGCAGGTAAAGTAACTTTGTGTTGGCGACTGTTTATTAATACTCATTCTTCTAAACTTTGCAGACCGAGGCCAGCCACCAGCCCAGCTCAACTTTGGCAGTGCCAGACCTTTGGGCTTAGACTTCCCCAGATTAATGGGACCAACTAGTCGGATCCAATAAGGAATGGCCACAGCTCAGCCAACTACTTGCGACATTTCTCTTTCCTTCCATAACTTTGTTCGCCGACACACTGTATCCGTTTTGTTGACGTGTAATTCCCAAAACCTATGGCGGTGATATACCGTACAGTTGGTTTTGTGTCATTCCTGCCTTTTTTCAGCACTACAGAGCAGGAGCGACGTAACTAAACAATGCTCCTTGATGATATCCAGTTGAGTCTTGCTCGATTTGTGTGAGACTGTTTCGACGTAATCCTTTAGCGAGTGTTTAAAGGTGAAGTGAAACCTTTGAAGTGCGTGATTTATAGAGAAGTATTGCTTTTAAGTTTTGTTCACGTGCTTTCTTTACAATCGACTTTTTCGGGATGTTCAATATCCAGTTATGATGCGCGTGTTTGTTCGTGCTTTGATTATTTTACCTTTTGAATTACACCCCAATACGAATGTAAACCCCTGAATTTCTCTACTTTATCTGCACGTTGTGTCCCTGTTTGCTTGTTCTTGGAGTTTGTTCTGCTTGGGCTTCTCTGTTGGTGTAGTCTAAATAAAAAGAAAGCAACTAAATAAAATTTTGCCTTCACTCCTAACAGAAATTGCCCACACAGCATTCGACAACGAATGGCAGAGAACGGACTGCGAGGACAGGAGCGCGGAGCTCTCTTTCCAAGAGGCCGAAATCCAGCGGCAACCATGCAAGATGGACCCGCAGGGTTGGACGGACGGCGGTGCGACTTCTGCCCCCAATCTTATGGTGCCCAGAGAACTAACACCAGGTATGCGAAGACGCACACGGGAAAACACTCATCCAGCCTCACGCCTTGTTAGCACACCCTCTCATAGTCATAAACGGTTGGTTCCACACGGATTAAAAACCTTTTTGTAAGCTTGGTTTTCCAGAAGGTGGAAAATGTCAGGAGTCTGAAGTGGTACACAAAGTTTTCCTCCCGTGGGATAAAGGGGTTACATTCCAACGTCCGATTACTACAACTATAGTGAAAGTAAACAAACAAGCTGGGTTCAACTGCAGGAACATTCAGTCCGAGCACTCGAAGTTGCAACTGATACATCTTTTTTGATATCGGATAAATGTACCATGCTGAGTTGCTTATTTATATCACACAAATTATATTTTTTCCTTTAGTTCCGGTTGATCGAGTAGGTCTCACAAAGGATATAAATTCTATTTGACGAATAAAATAACCCAAAAAGGTTTGTCTGTTTCAAATGCTTGAATATTTTCTCACAACATTATTTGTGACACCTAGCTTTAGCTTTAGACTGGCAAATGTGCATTCGAATGTCGAATTAAAACAACGTTTTTGGCTGTTTCAGATTGCTCGTAAAATGATCGCTCTGTGTCTTCGCAAATTATTAAGTTTCTAAGGTACAAAACGAGTATTTTACGAGCCTATTGAATGCTATTTTGTGTAAGAAGGTGGAAACTCTAAGCAGTCAGATATGGCACATAAGTTTCTTTCGCGTGGAAAGTTCTGTAAGCTTAGGTTAGCGCCCTGCAACGAGCAGAAAAGTACAGCACAGCACAATGCAAAGTTTATTTTCTTAGGAAAGCGGAGAGGGGGCGATGAAGGAGTTATATTTTAAAGTCAGAACGACAACTCAAATGAAAGTAAACAATCAAGCTGGGCTCTACTGGAGGAACATTCAGTCCGAGCACTCGGAAGTTTCAATTGCTACACCATATTTGATGACTGATATCCCAAAAATGTACCGTGTTGAGTTTATTTATTAAAAAAAAAGTCTTTTTTTTTAGTTTCGGTTGATCGAGTAGCTGTCAAAACACTATAACTGATTTTTAATGAATGAAATAGCCCGATAAATGTTCTGAGTTTCAAATGATTGAATATTTTCTGACAGCATTATTTGCGTCGCCGAAGTTTAGCTTTAGACTGGCAAATGTCCATAGCAATGTCGATTTGAAATAGCATTTTTCGCTGTTTCAAGTCGCTCGTAAAATAATCGCTGTGTACCTTAGCGATTTTTCAAGTTTCAGAGCAACACAGCGATTATTCTACGAGCCTATTGAATGCTATTTTGTGTAACATAATAATCTGTGGGTGTGTGAATGACCCTTCAGCGTTACTTAATACACAGTCGCGATCATTATGAATGTCAACACCCTATCACCCAGCGCTCCGTACAGGCAGTGTTACGCAGCCGCAGTGTTGTAGGCGTTACCGTAAAAAAGGAAAGATACGTTATTCGTTACTTGTGAAATAAAGGAATGCGTTACCGTTACCGACAGAAAGTAGTGCACGTTACTTTTGCGTTACTTTTTATTTAGAAATTGACGGTAACAGGCGTTTTTGTTTTATTTTGGTGACAGCGTTTTTCGACACTCGGATGACGGGCGCGGGCGTTGGAGATCTTCTAAAGTGTAAATTTTTGCGTGAGAAAAAGAGAGGAAATATTTAGAAAACATGTAGAATGAGTGCAATATTATTTACTTGGATCACATACTATGTTTCAGCATAAATCTAGACGCAGCCGATGCTAAGAGCTAATCGGACAAATCAATCAGCGTCAAAATCACAAGTCACTTGGCCTTGTGTGTTTATTTCAGCTAAGATTGAACACGTACAGAATCACAGAGAACACCATGATCGTTCCCTTTTCCCTCCCTCATAATTTCCATCAGGTTGTAGCGTGAGCTGCATCTTTACTTCAGGTAAACCGAAGTATAGAAACTGGCAAAAATTACAGGTGTTCGATTTTCAATTAAACTTGAGGAAGAAAACAAGAAGGGAGTGACGAACGTTTTCTTCCTCAAGTTTAATTGTCCCACCAACCCGCTCGTTCTGTCCTAACATCATTTTTCAAGTTTTCGGAAGGTGTAATAAGTGACGTAATTATGTTACCCACTAACATGAGTACATTGCCCGTAAATGTCTCGGGAAAGTAACGATTACGTTACCGTGTTAATAACAAAAATAAGGCGTTACCGGTAACGACGTTACTTGTAACACGTTACCGCCAACGCTGTGCAGCAGCGACCGCGGCGGCTTGATTTCCCTTCCGCACTTGGTTAGCAGAACGTGGAAGCCACCACAGCTGCAGCACCATGGGGCTGCCAGAGTCGAGTCTTAAACGATCCCCTGTAGACATTTACAAGCTTTGCGAATGAACCTTTTTAACATCTCAAATGAACGAATGCCTACTATAGGCCGCACCGGCATAATGTAGGTATTCTGGACCATGTTCAGAACAATTAAAAATGCGCCGGCCTTTCTTGCTCTGTCGTGTCATCCCAACAGACTGGAACGGAGCAGGCTACGGCGACAAGGTGGATACTTTTGACCGTGACAGCTGCAGGGGTGACACCTCTCCCCCCACCAACTGGTCGGGCCCACAGAAGCCGCAAACGCACCGACAACCGGACAAGCACCCGTGCCGCTTCTGTCCTCACTCAAGCTCTTCCGCAACAAATGTCGCCATCCACGAGAGGACTCACACTGGCAAGAGGCCATTCAGTTGCGGTGTTTGCGAGAAAACGTTTGCGCGTACGGATTGCTTGACAGCTCATGTTAGAATTCACACCGGAGAGAAGCCGTTCAAGTGCAACACGTGCAGCAGGGCGTTTAGTCACAGATGGAGCTTGGCGAATCACGAAAAAATTCATACAGGAGAGAAGCCGTTCAAGTGCAACACGTGCAGCAGGGCGTTTATTCAGAAATGCATCTTAACTAATCATGAGAGGACCCACACCGGAAAGAAGCCGTTCAAGTGCGAGACCTGCGGTAGATCGTTTGCGGCTAATAGCGGTTTACACATTCATCGGAAGATACATCGCAAGTGATCGAAACAGTAACGTGCATCATAGTTGTGGACGGGATTTAAACGAAATGCTCGAGAACCGACGTGTGTTCATTTCGTTTGGCGATAGACCTGCAGGGGTTCTACTTGCGAGCAGTGCAGATTTCGAATGGTTCAAAATCTTTAGGCTCTTACTCATCGCGTAAACACAGCTAAAAATGTGAATTTACCTTAGAGTAAGCGACCAGAGTTCTTTTTTGTACACGAAAAAAAGAAAATACTTGAAGCCTTATCTTTTTTTATTCATTTAGAGTCATTAATCACGTGATGCACCTGGAGTCTCTGGGTTGTATGTAGGGTCACTTACTTTCCTTACAAGTCGGCCTACTCATGACCATAAATATAGGAACTCATAAAATAACTAAAGTCTTTCAATAGCAGCAATCTTGAATATTGCTAATGTTAAGAAAGTATAAGAGCAACCGAGTAAAGTAGGGTCAACATAATTTTTAGATGAGAAATAAAGCTATATACGAAACTATTTAAGACACCAAGCTGGAAACTAATGCTTTGCTCATAGGACTGCAACAGAATATGCATGACTCGAAGATTTAGAAATGCGGTTTAATTTCCTATCTCATTTCGTAATATTCTTTGTCCTTTTCTTTTTGACCAGTTTTTGTATCTGAATTCTGGTGACATCACTCAATGTGCTTGCTACATGAAACACTCGTATGTACGTTTTCCTTTTGCATGATTTCTTTTTTTTTTTCGCGCATTCACGAAGACGTTTCTCACCATTTAGGATATTAATACTTTCAGTGCTATTCATTTGGCGTTCATATATACTTCGTTTCACCTTAGGTACGAGCGCGGACAATGTTGTGAGCCGGAGGACCAATAAAACAGTGCAAAAAGCGCAAAGCCATAGCGTGCTCTCTGCGCTTGATAGAACTAGCCGGTGGAGGAGCACGCGCAGAGAGATGGCGAATACCGGCTAGTCCTATAGTCCTATGAACTGCAGAGAACTCGTCATGGCCTTGTGCCTCTTTTGCTGTTTGATTGGCCCTTCGGCTCATAACATCGGCCACGCTCGGACCTAAGCCTAAACGAGGTATAGTTTCACATGAATTCGTCAGGCTTTTAAATATTAGAAATTCCTCTTGTAGTGGACGGATCATATGCATGTGTTGTACTAAAGGCATAATTGACTCCATTGTGTATATAGTTATAATCCATCTAAATATGTCTTAATCTGCTCTGACTGTACAGTGGTTGTCACTATTGCCTGATGCGCCAGAATTGATGGAGGCGGAGTCCTGTTCCCAAACGTATAAAATATTTGCTCTGACATATAGGGTGTTTCCAGAAAAAAAACGGGCAAAAGTTCTACTGCAAAAAGTACGCATGGCACAATAAAGAAGCCTGATGCCGTAGCGGTCTGTCAAAAGAAAATTGCTAGAGCTGAATATAATGGGATAATTAATAAATTCCGAGTACTTAAATTGTCACATATTTGTTTTAAAGGCGTGGTTTCAAAGATAACATTGCCCGGAATCATTGAGAACGACTAAAGACACCCATGTTATAATGGCATGAGGCACGCTAAGTATTTTAGGGAGTTCTGAAAAAATTCTCAAGTTGGACGCGTATCTCGCTTTCGGTTTCTTATCGGAGAGCATCTCCACGTGGGCAATCTCGCCCCCCGTGTCTAAATCGCGCAACGTGAGTGCACCGCCACGCATTGCTCGTGAAGGAGCGTCTTCACTCTGGCACCGATGTCAAAAAGGCGGACCTCATGTGACTGTCCAGAAGCTTTCTTACGTAGACTTCTCTACGCGCGATGAGTGGCGGCGCACATACGTTGCGCGTCTTAGACACGGGGCGCGGGATCGCCGGCACAGAGATGTGCTTCGATAAGAAACCGAAACCTACATACGCGTCCAAATTGGGCATTTCTTCGGAACGTCGTAGAATGCTGCGCGTGCGTCATATCATTGCCGCGTGGGTGTTTTTAGTAGTTTTCGATCATAACAGCAAGGTTCTATTTGAAACCAATCCCTTCAAATCAATAATGTGCAATTTATTCATTCAAAATTACTTACCCAATTATATTGAACGCTAAACATTTTCATTGGTGGCAGGTGCAAAGGGCGTAAGCTGGTTTAGTGGTAGAACCTACGAGCACGAGCATGTCCGTGCTCCCAGCCATATCCACGCAGAGTGCGGTCAGGAGATGAAAACGAGTTGGTTGACTGGTTCGTCAAACGCGTAGCTCCCACCGCACTGTTAACTTCAAGGGGCCGTGCTCCGATGTTGGGTGTTGGGCTTTCTGCACCAGTGGGACCCAAGCACCGGTGTGCCCGTTACAGAAAACATGTAACAAAATAGAGTCACTCGTTAGATTAGGGAGTTGTAGTAGATCGTTTTTCCTCTCCGCTACGGTATCCCCGAGGAAAACGGCGCAGCTGCGCATGCGCGCCACCAGCCTTCTCTGCATAGTTCAAGGTCTTGTGGTGAATTACGGAGCGCTATCCGGGTGCTTAGCGGGCTGCGGAAACGGTCTATTACAATTCCCTATTGTCAAAACTTAACCGGCTACTGATATTCGTTACCGTCCTACGAACGTAACGATAAACCGTTATGGTTTCTTTCAAAAGTGAACGAATGTTACTTTTGCGCCAATTTGAATATCACTCATTCCACAGCGAAAGGCCGAGGATATGAACTCAGACAACCGTTTAACATCTTTGTGAGTTATTAGTTTGTAAGATTTGTTGCATGATCATTATTTTGAAAACTGGTTTTATTGACTGTGCTCTCTTTTATTTTCTATTTTTCCCAAATAATGTAGTAATGTTTTGCACGACCATAAGGGATTTCCAATAAACAGTTTGAATAAAACACTAATTTGAGTGAGGTGACCAGGTGTCGACAAATTTTCTCCTCATCTGAACGGATACACAATTTGGAGTATTTAGAGGTACTCCCAAGAAAATGGGGTATAATGCATTAAATTACAGTATACCCCTTCTTGGGAATGCTGCGAAAGGTTCTCCGATTTAACTCTTTTAAAAAGTCGGCGAACCAGTGCATTCTGTTGAGCTATGCGCAGAGTGGAGATTGCGAGCCGATTTCTCTGATTCTTTCACGAGTTTGTTCTGAAAGCCCTTAAAACCCAGTTTCAAGCGCTTTTGAAGCAGGGATATTAGAGGTGGGTCACGAATCAGTCCGGGCATGAAGAAATTGATAAAAAAAATTACTTACAAGGACAATATAATTATAGGTTATCTGGCGGAGAAATGTTAGGACCGAGTTTAGTGTAATTAATAGTAAAAGAGGCGACGCTCTTATGGGTGAAAAGAAGGATATATCTATTCATGATAAGTCGAAGCCCCGGTGTAGGGAACACAAATCAATAAGGACAACAGTAGGCTAACGACACGTTAGCCTACTGCAAGTTAGTAAAAAAAGAAACTGGAGCACTGATAAGGACCTATCGACCCTAACTGTAAACGTTCGTAACGACCGCAACCGCAGAAAATAGTTGCTCTTTCAAATTAGCCCCAAAGAAAAAAAAGAGCATCATATTTTTCAATATCCAGGACTTTATACCAGGACCGGGGATATTCGAGCTGAGGTGCCGCCCAGGAAGCCATCAAAAGGGTAGCGCCGCTGCGCCCCCATTTCAAAGTTTTTTTAGCTTACTAATTTATTTAAACACGGCGGTTCTTTTCAGAAAAAAAAAATACTCGTTTTGGAATACGTCTTGTATTTGCGTTGTTTGATATTTAATTATGTCTTGTGTAGGCCTCATCCCGTTTGATCAGATCGATGAAGCTATTAATGTTCGGGTGAGCTCTCCCTGACACAGCTTTTATCTTACGGTGCCATGTCTCCAAGGTTGTTTCGGGAGAGGGAGAAGGGGAGGAGGCGCAAGGAGGACAGACATTAGACACTTGAACCTAACCAACTGTTAACGAACAATACAAACGAACCGACCCAATTGATAACGAGTGATGGCAGAAGCGGGAAGGTTGTTTCGGGTAGGGCGCCTCCTGAGAACTGCGAGAATGGCTGTTTATTGTTCGGTAGTTAAAAAGAGGATACCGGAGACGGGTGTGGGCTTCCAAAGCCATCGCAAAGGGCTTATGGTCAAGAGGTCCAACGAGTCAAAAGGTCCAACGAGTCAAGAGGTCCAATAGCCAAGTGACAGCCGAGTCAAGAGGTACAACGAGTCAAAAGGTCCAATTCGAGTCAAGAGGTCCAACGCGTCAAGAGGTCCAACGAGTCAAAAGGTCCAATTTGTGTCAAGAGGTCCAACGCGTCAAGAGGTCCATCGAGTCAAGAGGTCCAACGCGTCAAGAGGTCCATCGAGTCCTATTTTTATCTTATCTGTTTATAATGATATTGCTATTAATGGGGGGGGGGGGGGGGACTGATTGTGACGGTTACTGACTGTTTGACCTATTTGAATCATTTTGGAGAATACAAGTACCACATAGCCATTGGAGACAAGTAGACAGATACTATTTGCCACAATATATATGTATTTCAGTGTTAAATAATGGATAGTGCCTAGCGACATATTTTGGACTTGTAGAACTTCATATCTGTGTTCCAGGCTCTCTGTTCTAGGACTTATTTATGCCATTTCTACGGAAGTGTCTCTCATATTCCCGAGATATAAAATAAAAATGTACCGCAGCCCCCCATCTCGCATTTAGCCTTCCCTTTCATGCATCTCAGCATTTGTAAACGCAAATACTTCCTTAGGTAACTTTGTCCAGTCCCAGGTTTTCGTATGTTTTATTAAAAATATGATGCACTACTCTTTTATGCTTTAGTATTTATTCACTGAGTTCACCGATTCACTAAAGAGGTAAATAACACAACATGGGAAGAAGCTCAAATATCACTGGAGGGCGTCTTTAAACGAGCCCAAATTATGCCACTTGGCGTCCAATAGAGTGTTGCTAATGAATGCGAGCATTGTCTCCTTGAAACGTTATGACCGGTGCAAGCTATAGCGGCTTAATTTGGGCCGTTGCGTTACTTAAAGGGATTGTCCGGTCGAAACCTGAAGTACTTAAGTTCTTGCGCTCGTTACGTCGAGGGAGCCTTCATATAGACAAACGTCATTTTTGTTTTGATATATGATCTCCCGTTATTAATTAAACCTTTCATGATCCTATGTACGAAACTGCACCCCGAATTTCGCCAGTGTCAATGGCTGACATCCGTAGGTGCTGCGTGACGTCACAAAACACAAAGGTTTGTCGGATGGTCGGGATAACAAGCGTTGGTCGATGGATGTGTGGTATTTTGTTTCGAATTATATAGTCTCCTAGGCAGCACCCTTCTGAAATACGGTTCTTTTAATGCAGTTCCCAAGCACGTGCAAAAAAAGTAACGCCTTTTAGCAGGATATTACTCGCAGACAGCCATAAGCTTCGAACAAACGTATGCCGTTTCGCGCAAACACAACTGCGACGGACGCCGATCGAACTGGGGGCGCTTGCAAAGCAAAGGATGCAGATTTCGCCTCTGAAGCGGCAGGAAGTTCTGAACTATAGTCGGTTACAAGTCAAGAAGGTAGCGGCAAATGCCCCTCAAAGGGAATCTTTGCATTTCGACGATAGGTTCGCGGCATCTGGATGATTTTGCGTCGGTAGTCACTGGCGGCAGC